TTGAATGAAAATCCTACGCGGTCAATGTCGAACCTCCCGCAACAAGAGGTTACTCTTCCTCCAGCATATGTTGAACCTCCAGCAAGTGCTGAATCTCCAGCAAGTATTGAATCTCCAGCATACGTTGAACCTCCAGCATATGTTGAACCTCCAGCATATGTTGAATCTCCAGCATATGTTGAACCTCCAGCAAGTGCTGAATCTCCAGCAAGTATTGAATCTCCAGCATACGTTGAACCTCCAGCATATGTTGAACCTCCAGCATATGTTGAACTGGCTGGAATATTATGCTCTCGATGTGGCATGACAAGACAAAGTATGACGGTGGATATTTGCCAATCGTGTTGGATTTCTTCAAGAACATTAATCTCTCACAGTATGAATCAGTAGATGACAATGAATGTAACCAGCATAAATCATTTCGTTGTATTGACATCCCAGAAAAGCTCATCCTCATGTTGTTTTTTAATATGTATTCACACTTGTAGACATTGTGTTGTGAAATTTTCTCGTGATTATGCGATCTATACCTGTTACATAGAATGACGACATATATAGGCTTTACTGGTGCATAGTCACACGTCATTTTGTTTTGGGTGTGGGTGTGGGTGTGGGTGTGGGTATGAGTGTGAGTATGAGTGCGGGTGTGGGGTGTGGGTATGGGTGGGGTGCGGGTGTAGGGTGTGGGTGTGGGTGTGGGTGTACATTTTCCTCAAACCCACACCCACACCCTTTTTGTTATAATAATTGTTGTTGTGACCCAGAAAGCAGGAGAAAGAAGGGAAATAATTATGCAAAATCAGGAAATATACCGGCGAAAAAAACCAGTGTCTAAGTGACTTGGTGAAGATGAAACGTTTTGCTCTTAACCATTTAACCTGTTCTAGAGATTTCTGAATGTTTCCTATACATCTATTAAATGTTGATTTCAAGGATAATTTATTTGTTCATATAAATCCTAGATATTTAAGTTCATTTATTGATTCGACTTTTTGCCTACTCATTTCTACGTGCACTTTCGGCTCTCGTATTTGTGTATAAAACAATTGTACCACTGTTTTTGATACATAAATAGGTGGTTTTCATTTTTTTTTGGGTACGTCAATATACGATTGCACACCTGTGTACATTTTTTTCTAACGAGAAAACCTCTTCAGTTGTTAAAAAGCAAGAGAAAAAGGTTAAGGGGACCCCCCCCCGCTTTCCTGACCCAAAATTTTCAGTTTTTTCGTTTTTCATTTTTAATGTCTAGTATATAGATCTAAATGCCCTCTATCTAATGAGCACATTTCAAGAAGGCTAAACCATCTTTTTGCATATAAGAAACTCGAAAAAAATCTCAATTTTATGCTAAAAAACCCAAAAAGTGCAACTTTCTTTGCGATTTTCTCAAAATCAGTTTTTGAGCAAAAAAAAAGTTTTCCCCCTTTTTCTCGAAAACGGTTGGACCGATCGGGCTGAAAATTGTTTTGGTGAGACTTCAAGTGATTTAGGTTGGACGTTTTTTTTTTTTTTGGATACCTTCTACCAATCAAGTTTGGCAGGCTTCGCAAAATTTTTAGGATCCAAAAAACCTAGAGATTTTGCAAAGTGCTCAGTATTTTGGTTCTCCAGCCTGAAGTATTTGGAATTTTTGAAAAACAAAAACGCCCAGCCCGATTGGATCTGTCTACCCACAGTAAAAATTTCAGCTCAAACGGATGAAATCTGTGGATTTGCGGGGGGGAAAACTTTTTGCAAGTTTTTGATCTTGGGGTCTCTGGAAGTCCATGAAGATGACGTCTGGCAATTTTGTGTCTATGACAACTTTTGCTCTACTACTCGAGGTCTATCTACCCTGCAAGTTTCAGGAATTTTCGTTAGGCCGTTTCTTAGAAACGCCGGAAAGGGGGGGGGGGTCCCCTTAAGAGGATATGTGTGTAAGTTGCAATTTGGCTGGAACATCAGTTTTTCACAATAATTTTTTTGTACAATTCTACTTTTTCGGTAAAAACAAAGTTTCGAATTTGGATCTAAAACTTTCCCTACAACAAGATCACAATCAGATTAGCTTGCCTACAAAGTTTCACAGCTTTTGGATGAATAATCTCTATGATACTAGTTTGTTAACATAAAAATGCTTTTTGTATGCATATTATGTATTGCACAAATATTTTAAAGTTGAGTGATTGCATGTTAATGGTGCAACGACAACTGTTTGTGTTGTACAAATCCGAATGATAAAACAACCTGCATGTTAAATCAAATTTTCTATTATCTACAGTGCAATTTTTTTATCATCTATTTAAACTTCGGTTTTTGCCAGTAAAAACGAAAAAAAGTGAAATCATCTAATTTCAGACCAAAATAAATTTGAAATTTCTCCATTTGATTCAGCCGACCAGCCAATTTTATTACTAATTCGCCATTTTTTTCGATTGAAACATGCATGACAGATTTGATAAGCTGATAATTGATCGACGAAGAGTTCATCAATGATGTCCGAACTATCCATCAAGTGGGATACAACGGTTTTATTCTCGTGGAACCACTTGATGAATCGATCAACAATTTTCGAGCAAATTCTCTTGTTAAATCTTGTAATATCAAGTCAAGGCAATGTGTATTGCAATGATCAAAGTGTGCGTTCTTCGATTTTCGAATCTATATTGGCTGCAAGACCATTATAGATCCTACTCATTGCTGCAGCCCCATTGCAACCTTGGCCACGACATTTACTAATAGGGTGTGGGTGTCGGTGTGGATCTTTTCTTACACCCACACCCACA